ATCTTGCTATTTAAAATACCAGGCTAGTCACAGTGGCCGCGCGGTCTAAGGCATGAACTGCCTTCGTTCGCTCGGACGCTGGGATCGTGAGTTCGAATCCCACTCAGGGTGTGGATGTTTGGTGTGTGTATATGTTTATTCTGTATTTGTGTTGTCCTGTGATTAGGTAGCAGACTTGTGAGGGACTGATCTCTCGCCCAAGGAACCCTACTGTCCGTGAATAAATGATTACGGAACTGAATAAGAGGCCAGGGCCCTGAATGGGCTGGAAGATCCATTGGAAAAATAAATTAAAATACCAGACGATATCGAAATCGTCTAGAAGTGCAAATTATTTTCATAATTTTTTCAAAAAATCACAAAAAAAAAATTCGAACCTGGAGGGGTAAGAATGGGGGTGAAGAGGAATGCACATAGGATGTTGGTGGGAAAGGCAGAAGGAAGGAGACCACTAGGAAGACGAAGACGTAGGTTGGTGGACAATATTAAAATGGATCTTAGAGACATAGGATGGGATGGTATGGACTGGTTCGATCTGGCTTAGGATAGCGACCAATGGGATGCTCTTGTAAAAATGGTAATGAATTTTGGTGTTAATAAAATACTGGAAAGTTCTTTTTTTACAAAATATTATTACGATTATCATATCAAGACGAACGAGATTTTCGGGACGAGCACACGTATGTGAGACAAGAGGTGTATAGAAAACCATGCAGTTTCGGGATGAGGCTTGCATAGACGGTAGGCGACGTTTCTGAAGAAATATTTTACAAATATTGGGACAATTTGGAGATAAACTTATGTACGTAGCAATGAAATACTCGTAGAATTTTGTCAATAAGAGTTAAGTCGGGATATAACTGATTCGAACGTCGATCGGCATATCCACCAATGATTGTGCTAAATCACTCTAGAATTGCTTCCTTGTGCACCAATACAATCCCATCACTTGACACGCCCTGTGCAGATGACGGCTTCTTTGGGTCACCAATGACGGTATGAAACACTGACCATTAACCTGGCATAAAGTTGCAATAACGGCGCAGAACAGTGACTGTTATAAAAAAAAAACATTTTTATTTTCGCTTTTTTGTCGATACTTTACTTATGAATAATTAATTTGTTTTAAACATATTTTATTGTCATTTATGAAGGTAAAGAAGTAAAGCTGTTCCTGTGTTTAACTAATTAAACACTACACCATGAAGGCGTATGGGGGAATGGATTTATAGATCCACATTTTATTGACCTCGGTACGAACTAGTTGTGAGTGGTCAGCTTCATGTCCCGGCCGCTTTACCCCCGGTACTCATTGGATATGAGGCTGGGTGGGCCCCAGACGACGTGGAGAAGAGAAGATTCTTGTCCTTACCAGGTCTCGAACTCCGACCCTTCTGTCGTCCAGCCCGCAGCCAGTCTCTATACCGACTGCGCTATCCCGGCTCTTCATTGTCGTTTATTAAGCTTCTTAATTACTCTGTTCCAGACAGCGCCATAGCTCAAGCAGTTAGTCACTGACTTCCCACCGCGGCGGCCCGGGTTCGAACCCGGGTCCGGTCAAGTGTGATTTGTGGTGGACAAAGTGGCGCTGGGGGCCGGTTTTCTCCGAGTACTTCGGTTTCCCCTGCCAATCTTCATTCCACCAAATTCTCCATCTCATTATCACCCGGGTCAGGTTACAATAATCCAATCAGTGGCCGCCGTGCCGAGTGGACCCAGTTGGACTCCACCCCCCACTACTTTGTTCCACTTGAAATATCGACAAGGTATACTATAATTGAATAACAGAAGAAGATCAGTATTTTTGGATTATTATGTCATTGAATTATTACTGTTATTAATAGTATTCTCGCTAAAACACTCCATTAAAAAGAAAACTCTTCTTATATAAAATATAAAACAAATATACTGAACAGTACAACAAGTTTTCTTGCTATCGTAAATTACTTATATATGCCACATCGGCTTCGATGCCTAAAATTTCTAGAAGAAAATATTAAGCATTTCTGGAAGTATGTTTAGAGAAACAAAAACGACGATCACACTGCCACGAAATTGAGCCTTGCGATAACTCTTACTGAGCCTCACCCTATTTCAGTAGCTTCTGCTCTTTCTTCTCTCTATCTATTTGTGCACGTAGTTATCACTCTGCTGATGTCACTCCTAGAATTCCTGAACCCAACATTTCTCGCTCTATAAAAGTTCCTTTTTCCTTGACAATGATATAAATCGGGCAATTGAATGCCTTATATCCTTGGGTCGCGTAGACTTCGGCAAAATCCCCAGTTTTATCAACAACGACTGATTTCACTGTATTTAGGAATGGAAACGTTTGTCCTGTGACTGACTACCGACATATTTAAACTATAACATATACTATGAATTTATGATTGGCTCAGTTTTATTTTAAGTTTAAACTTCATACACCTCAGCATAGCTCTGTTAAGCCAAATCAGCTCTGACCAATTTTAATATATCTTTAAACACAGTCACACCTGCTGTCTGCTTACTATTCTTTTTTGTTATTGCTAGTGGGGTGGGAAGTCCCTTGTACTGCGGCTACTTCTGGCCTATTGTACCAGCCCCAGGTGATAGGTGAGGGTGATTGTGGCGCAACTGGTGGAATGAAGATTGGCAGGGGAAACCGAAGTACTCGGAGAAAACCTGCCCCAGCGCCACTTTGTCCACCACAAATCCCACTTGACCAAATGCCTGAGCTATGGTGCGGCCTGTCTGCTCACTAACATAAATGGTGAGCTCTTGTAAACACGGTACTGAAAAATGTACAAATAATCGACTGTCTGAGAGAAAATACGTTTCTCAAAAAAGGTTTCCCCCCCCATGAAGCCCAATGGCAAGAACAAATTTCGCTCAGGGCATGTCCTTGCTTCAGATATTTCATCTGAATTGTACTGTCGTGCTATGCAGAGGCTGAGCGATGGACTGATCCCCCATTTCAGGACTAAGTAATAGGTTACACCAACATTAAACCTGAGTGAGAACGGATCATAGTGCGCACGTCTTGATTTTTTCTTTTGTCGCTACAGCCCCAATTTGGGCCTTAGCCTACCTTCATGAAACTCTCCGTTTCACTTCGGTTTACTAGATCTTAGACATTCGGTAGGACTCATTAGGCGGGTGATCAGCTAGCCGCAAGGCCTCTACCTGTACACAAACACAGAAAAACACAAACATCCTTGCCCTGAGTGGGATTTGAACCCACGATTCCGGCTTACGAGCGATCGAAGACAGTGCGTTTCTTAGACCGCTCGGCTACCGTGACCGGCCGTCTTGAAATTAGACGAAGATAATTATTAATTATTAAAATGATATTAAATAATTTATCCTTTTTTAAGTTTCTTCTTTTACTTATCGACGGCTTCTAAGATGTGAAGATTATATGGCGTTTAATGGTGTAAGTATTTTGTGTGATGCGTTGAGACAAAACAAATTACTTAAATGAAAGCAGCCAATATCTCCTTTAAAGCACCCCCGCATCATTTGTAATGTGGGGTCAGTAAAACCACAAATGGCCTTAGACAATTTTTGGGTTTGAGGTAATAACAGCAGCATCAGTGAAGAGCATGTTTTTCTGGTTTGTAACACTGTAGAGTTCGGAACAACCCTTGCCTACTTATACGGTGTTACAACCCAGAAGAACGCAGTCTTCCCAAAGAAATCATCTTCCCGGCCGACAATCGAAAAAGGAACCTCCTCAATACAAAACCGGAGTGCTGCAGACCCAATCACATTGTTTGATATAACCAATTATGAAGTAAATTTTATAATCTGAAATAATTTCTTGCGTCTAATTTGGAAACATCAACTTTCTTTTGCTTGTTGAATGTAGCGTAACGAGGAACTGAAATCTTTCAAAATGATGGAACCCATTCCTTGTCCCCAGGGTCGACCTTCAGAGTTTAGAAATCATGTTTCGCATTTGAGAGGCTCAAGGCTTGGTTCTAATAACTTAGGTGTTTGTTGCTTTGTATTTTCTCTCAAAGACTTTTTATAACACGTGAAACCTTACTGCTACTTATTATTCTCAATATATACGTATAATTCACAATCACTCTTCTTTTATACACTATGTAGTCTATGTGACTGAGAAATTTGTGTTCTGATTTCCTATATAAAGACATATGGGTGAAATTGCTCCTAAACCTATGAGTCGTTTTTATAAAACTTGGTCTCCCATCCTCAGGGAAGTGCATGCTACATGTAAAGCTTACTGAGAACAAGGTACTCAGATAATATCTGGATCCAAGAAGGGGGGGGGAACTAACGGAAGTTTGGAGAAGGTTCAACAGTGAGGAGCTTTAACAACCTTTAATCTGGTCACGAAATTACGTCGTAAGGGCGAGACGGACGAGGCATGTAGGAGACATGGGACCAGTGTATGCGCACAAAATGTCGCCTGAAACTTTAAGCGAAGTAATCACTACTGAAACGTCGTCGTAGGTCGGATATAATATTAAAACGGATGTTAAAAAATGAGACATGAGAATGTTGATTAGATTTATATGCCTAAGAACAGGGATAAGTCGTGGGGTTACGTGGACACCGATTTAAACCTTGGGATACATGAAAGGCGAGGCATATCATGTTCATGCTCTGTTCTGTGGAATTGCTCATCAATATCATATATCATCTGCATTAACAAATTATTGAGTAGAATACATAACGCTCACAGTTATACTGAGTCGAGTTACGAAAGCTGACATCACAAGTGTTTGCTGTCTCAGTTTCTTCTAGACCGGCACTCGGGCTCATACAGCCTCTCATCGAATTGGTACCGGGAGGTTCTTTCCCCGGGGTAAAGAAGCTGGAGCCCGAAACAGACTATTCGCCTCCATCTGGTGCCTGAGTCGTAAATGATAAAGCAATATCTCCAATCTCACATACATATTTATGGAGTGGTGCCTTATTTATTTAAGCACAGGGATAACTTTTTAAATGTCAATTTATTTCATCAAAATAAAACATTCTCATTCTTACAGATGTGTGTTCTGCTCTTCATCCTGAGCCTCGCATTGACTGCGGCAGAGGAGAAGTTGGTGAAGAAAACTGAAGTCAAGTCCAAGTCCCTACCTAAACCCCCAGGCAAGGAGCTGCAGACGGAGAGGGAATCACAGAAGGAAACCGACTCGAAGCCGGAAAAACGCGGTGCTCTAGGAGAAGAAGGACATCTGGGACCGTTAGAGCAGGGTGGTGATGAAGGAGGCGGTCAGGCAGGCCTTAAGACGGAAGTGGCCCACCACAGGCCCATTGTGACCGAGAAGGTCGTGCACACGCACTTCTCTGTGCCACTCCCATATCCTGTAGAGTACGTCAAACACGTGCCCTATCCTGTGAAAGTCCCGGTGCCCGTCGTTGTACACAAACCTTTTCCTGTCCCCGTTCCAAAACCTTTCCACGTCACAGTTGAGAAGAAGGAGCCGTATCTTGTCGTGAAACATGTCCCATATCACGTGAAGGTCCCAGTTGAGGTACCTGTAAAGGTCCCGGTAGAAGTTCCTGTTCCTAAATTGGTACCTCATCATGTACCTCAACCTGTCATTGAGCAAGTCCCCTTAATTATCAAGCAGCACCCTGAGTATCAAGTAACCCATAAACCAGAAGCTTACAAAGCAAGATATTATGAAGAGAGTGCCGCTGGAACTGATAACATCAAAATTCCTGAAAATAATTATGAAATTCCAGTTCAGTCACATGATGCGAAGTATTACAACATCCCTGAAACGTACAAAGCGATAGTGCCTGAAACCAGTTACGGAAACTTTGCGCTCCCTCAACCCACTTATCAACATGCTGTTCTCGAAAGCAACCACTATGTTCCTGAGTACCAACAAGGAAGTTACTACGAAACTCAGTCTGCTAGTATCAGCAATCATGAGTTGGACAATTCTGGGGCTCACAAGGGAGATATCTATGCAGGTTTGGTGGGCAGCGGTTATTTGATTCATGGGCATGAACCAGAAAGTCACGGATACAGTTACCAGAGGGTCAACAGCTGTTGACACAAATACTAGTACAATTCTGTGAACAAGCGCCATATTTGTCTGCTTAAGACAAATCGTTTCATACCTCGTCAATCTTCATGTTTCGTTTACATCTGTTAGCAAACGACGCCAAGGTAGAAGTCACTCTGTCAGACTTGTAGGATATAGAGCAGACAGCCTGCGTTTGGACAGATTCCGTTTGGAACATCAAAGTTTTCCTTACAATAAAATCGGTCATAACCATTCTCATTTTTCACTTGTCATCGCCCATTTCATTCCATACAAGACCTCGACAGATGATACAGCATATAAACGTTTCAGACAAATCTAATCACTTATCTTCTCATTTTTCATTGATCACAGCAAATATCATGGAGTTTATGTATTCACAGCTGAAACAGCATTGAAGTACAAGTTCCTGCTTGAAATTTATGGATTCAATAACATAACCTCTGTCAATCCTCATAGAGAGATAATATCAGCCTCTCAAAAATAAAGTTCCTATATTTAAGGGTTCAATTTCGCTTTAAAAATTTATTTTTTTTTTTTTTTTTCATTACCATGATAGTCTAGAGATTCGAATTTCGGAGCCCTAATATTTGAAAACTTCACTGTAAGAAATTAAGGACAGATTCACTTAAATCACAGGTCATTAATGTTCACAGCAGCTGTGCGTCTCATTCAATGCATGGGCAATGCAACATATAGAACTTAAACCTAATCAACTACTGTCGAACAAAACCGTACAGTGGACTACTGTAATGTTCTTATCAGATTTATTTGAAGGAAGAAAGTGGCTATAATTTGTGTAACGACAAAACAAAAATGCCCCAAGTCTTCGCTGGATTCATGCTCCTAACAATACCTGCGTATATTACGCAGTTTCAACTTTAACAGGGTCGAGATTCGTTACAAATGAAGATGTTGAATTTATTTATAATAAACGTGTTTTCCAGAAAATGTATACATGTTCACTGTTATGTATTAATTTCCTTCACGGAACAATATGAAAGCCGAGAGTGGGCGTCCGAAATCCTTGCACCACTACGACTAATTATCAGTTGTCGATCCTTCTCATTTATCCCACCATCAACCCTGAGCCTTGAATAAATTGCATCAATTTGACGGTTGGGAGTTATGATAGTCACCGGAATTCAAGATACAAGCTCTGGAGTGACGGCTTCTGCAGTACAGACAGATCTCACAGCAGCAGAGTACATGTAAGGACTATCTTTATTATTAGCATACTGTTGTGTATTTTTTTCCTCGGCTCTGCAGCCCCAGTGGGCCTAGGCCTACCTCAATGAACTTCTCCGTTCACTTCAGTTTTTCTAGATCTTACACATTCGATAGGACTCCTTCGGCGGGTGATCAGCTTGTCGCAAGGCCTATACCTGTACACACACACAGAAAAACGCACACACACAAACTAAACATCCATGCCCTGAGTGGGATTCGAACACACGATCCCGGTTTCCAAGCGATCGAAGACAGTACATGGCGTAGACCGCTCGGCTACCGTGACTGGCCCTGTTGTGTATTACTATATACTATTATTATAAGATCGTGTACACAATAAATTCGTAATAAGTGAACCAATGTTACTTCAACTTAGTTTATTATGTATATTTGCTACATGTTTCGATCCAGTTGAAAAAGAAAATTAACACCTAAATTTTAACTGAGTTATAATGTTTTACTTTTTATGAGTAATATACAAATATATAACGAAACTTACGAATTGTAATGAAATGTATATTATCAAAGATCACAAATGTGGATCCACATTAGAAATACAACCCAGTAACGATTAGTACATTTCACGAAATTTTACTGATGATGATCCAGCTGGATCGAAATATGTAGAAAGTATACATAATAAATTAATGTTAGTACATTATAAAAGTGGCTCAAAATGGCGGCAGTCGTCTTCATTGCATGTTCTGCACCGCCTGCTTATGTTATGCTGAACTCTTTGGAAGATTCCCGGCATTTCCCGGATAGCTCCAGCTGCTACTGCAATTCTTGCCACAAGTTCATGTCGTGTCTCCACTGGGGTCTCCTAGACCAGGCTTTTTGTTATGTATCCCCAGAGAAAGAAATCCAATGAAGTCAAGTCAGGGCAGCGAGGGGCCAGTTTATTGGGCCTCCACGTCCAATCTGTCTGTTGCCAAAGTTTTTAACCAAATGCTCGCAGACATTAGTGCAGTGTGCTGGGGCGCCATCATGCTGGAACCACATTTCACGATGAGCTTCCAAAGGCACCACTTCCAGCAGCTTGCGTAAGGTCTCTTGGAGAAATTTTACGTAAATATCACCCGTAAGCCGCAGAGGTAAGAGGTAAGGGCGTCCTCTTTCACATTTCAGAGAGGCTAGCGTTCAAACAAAGAGTTTCCCGGCATTGATATATTAACAAAATACTACGTATGATCACATTGAACCCATTTACCTATCACAGAGCTATGTAACATATATTTATTTACACTCTGTAGAGCGTACCTCATTGTGACCTTAAAAGAAAGGCAAGAAGACATAATGTAATGTAATTATGAATAAATATAAAATAATTGATGCTTCTATTTCATGTCTATAGGTCTGCTCTTGAATAGCATTTCACACAACAAATTTTACGAGTTTACAATAAGGTAGGTGTCATGGATTAGCTCTGTCAAGGGATAATTTCAGTACTTCAAAATAAGTTTCAGAAAGAGGTCTGTAGGAAAATACATGCCATCCGAACACGTTACAATATGTTTCCTTTCTTCTTCTGCTTTGCCGCTACCGTATTAAATCTTGAATGTACTGAACATTTTGAAACTGTTGAATACAGACATGTCTCATTAACGAAAGGAATACGAAAGTGCGGTTAATTAATGGATAACACTTACCTACACACCTCATCTTGTAATAGGTGAAAGGACGGTGAGAATGCACCCACGTTAAAAATATTATTTCTTGATGTGTTTAAATGAATTGCCCAAAGCTTGGGCAGAGCACACACTAGACCTACCGGTGCCTAACTTTATATAAGTATCAATTTCAAATGGAATTGCTATATTTTTAAAATGCAGTTATACTGTAAGGAAAATTCCTTACAGTATAACTGCATTTCCGTACTTTCTACTCAGTTTTAATACGCAGTAAAATATATGTTAAGTATTCGTTGTACTAAAATGTGGCAAATATGTAGAAGTAATATTAAAACGTAATTTCTAAAAAAGAAAGAAGTTCTGAGAAGAACTGATAGTCCTTATGTAACATCCTCTCTGATTAGAGGATGGGTCTGTCGTTTACAATTGCTGCTGGTCCTTTCCATTGTAGTCATTCTCAGGTCCGAGTCCCGCGGGACTCGTGACCACATTTTACTGTATCAGGCTCGAGACTCCCCCAACTTCCCCGCATTTATATCCTTCAGGAACAAGGAGGCCGGTTATACCCCCAGACACTGGATTCCCTTTTCTTCCCACTCTCAAATGAACCGAACTAACTCTCTTAAAACTTCGGGACGACCGAATACAAGTCACCATGTCTTACAATTCCAACATGCAAAACTATAATTTTGCCTGTGGTTCTGTATGGGTGTGAAAACTGGACTCTGACATTAAGAGAGGAACATAGACTGAGGGTGTTTGAGAACAGGGTGTTGAGGAGAATATTTGGAACGAAGAGGGATGAAGTGACAGGAGGTTAGAGAAAATTGCACAATGAAGACCTTCATAACTTGTACTCTTCTCCAAGTATAATTAGAATGATCAAGTCAAGGAGGATGAGGTGGGCAGGGCACGTAGTACGAATGCGGGAGGAAAGGAATGCATGTATGATATTGTTGGGAAAGTCAGATGGAAAGAGACCACGTGGAAGACCAAGGCGTAGATGGCTAGGCAACATTAAAATTGATGTTAGAGAGATGGGATGGAATGGACTGGATCGATCTTGCTCGGAATAGGGACCAGTGGAGGGCTCTTGTGAACACAGTAATGAACATTCGGGTTCCATAAAATGCTGGGAAGTTCTTGAGTAGCTGCAAAATTGGGGGTTTCTCAAGAAGGACTCAGCTCCATGAGTATGTAAGTAAGTAAGTAAGTACTGTGCACACTGAAGAAAGCAGTCTTCTGGGATTTGGCACCGTGTATATGTTGTGTTAACCGACGTTTCGGAGGAACGTATTGCCTCCATCTTCAGGGTAGAAGAAAAATATATAAGAAATCTGCAAGCAAAGAGACCATGAGAACCGGTAAAAGCAGACTGATATGGAGGCGATACGTTCCTCCGAAACGTCGGTTAACACCACACATACACGGTCCCAAATCCCAGAAGACTGCTTTCTTCATAGTCACCGCCGTGAAAGCCTCAAATCTTACACTGTGTACACTGCTGTTGTTATTATTAAAATGACACAAATTGTCTTGTTTTTCTGTGTTTGTGTACAGGTAGAGGCCTTGCGACGAGCTGATCACCCGCCCAAGGAGTCCTACCGAATGTGTAGATCTAGTAAACCGAAGTGAACGGAGAAGTTCATGGAGGTAGGCCTAGGCCCACTGGGGCTGTAGTGCCAAGGAAAAAAATATTAAGGTAGAGCACAACGATAGTCATTTTCCACAGTTACGCAACTTGACGAGAACGCCCGGAGGATTTCCAGTTAAGACTATGCCAATATATTGCTTGTTACTTTTGTCTTGTAAGCTTGTCTGTCGGTATGGGACTGTTCACACTGAATAAAAAAACGTACATAGTACGAACAAGCTTGAGTAAAAGTTGTCTAAGGCGCTAGCTATTACGTAACTGGACAAAACCCTTCCTCTTCTGATGATGTTTTGACAGCTTTACTGCTCCGTATTCATCCGACTTCGTGATTCAGGACTTCGTATATAGAAATTAGAACTATGATTTTGTTTTATGGCATAAAACCATTACAGCTGTATAGTGAGGCTGTTAAATAATAGAACGGGCTGAAATACTTAGTGAAAAAGAAAAGAATAGGCGGAAGAAGGATAAATGAAAAATGACTGAGGGAGCAACAGACAAGGTCTGAGAGCGTGTGTAAGTGAACGTGACGTATATAAGCACAGGTGTCTTTACGTCTGTCTCTAGCAACAGAGCTGCAGTCAGCCAAATCGCACCAAGAGACATCGCCATGAAACTACATGTGAGTAAGATTATAATCATCATATAATTTGCGCCCGGGAAACAGAATGTAAGGGACGGCGTCAAACGAGGCACTTAACGCTCCTTAACTTGAAGGCTAATAACGACAGCGGGGGAGTGCGAATTGGGCAGTTATTCGTTGCAGGAAAGGAAAACTTGGAAACATTATTAATTTTGTTTTTATTGGCTTGGATTTAGGTCCACACTTTCCTCATTATTTTAATAGGAATAAATTTCCAAATATTCTGCTATATGAAATCAATGTAGAGAGACATCAAAGTATATTATATTAATTGGATTCCCATTAATCACATATTTTCTAAATTATCGATATATTTCCACCTTTTTTACATATTCTAAGGTTGTTGTACCAGGGATGAAGAGGAAAATTTATATAAGCACAACATAGGTTGAATCCAAGTTGTGATTATTATTACTATTATTATTATTATTCATAATTTGAGAATAAATTAATATATTATTAAAATTAATAAAACTAAGGATACATTTACTTTGTAGATTAGTTATTGTTATTACGGTTAAGTTGTGTAAGATGTCCCGCGCCTGTCCACACATAAACATGCCCACCCTCCCTAAATGCATGATTACATTACATTTACAGACCCAAGAAAACGAGTAAGGCACATTTTGAGCAGCCACAGGTCACTGCATCTAATACTCTATAAAAACTATAGCCAATTCACAGCTTTAATAAGACCTTAGTTTTGTTAATTTTAATAAGTAAAAGTAAAAAAGTAAAGCTATNTTACCTCATCGGGACTTGAACCCGCGACCTTCCGGCTTGTAGCATAGCCCCTCAACCAACTACGCTACCGCGTGCCCCATTAATTTTAATAATAAATATATTTATTTATTTTAGGTTTAGGATTAAACAATAATTACTATTTGGATTATATCTATAAACTACTGACATAAAGCTTCCGTTTCATTTTTGGTTCAACCGTCTTGAAGAGAGTCTAATGAGGGAAAATGTGATGTAGTTTCATGGATTTCTACGTTGCTTTCTTCATCATTCTTTTCCCTAGTAACAGATACATCGGGTCCCTTAAAATAATATTCGTATATCTTCATTGTAAGCATGGGAAAGAAACCTGTTATGAAGGCCGCAAGAAGGTCGCGCCATAGCTCAAGCGGTTAGTCGCTGGCTTCCAACCGCGGCGGCCCGGGTTCGATCCCGGGTCTGGTGAAGTGGGATTTCTGGTGGACAAATTGGCGCTGGGGCAGGTTTTCTCGGAGTACTTCGGTTTCCCCTGCCAGTCTTCATTCCACCAAATGCTCCACAATCACCTTCACCTATCATCTGGGGCTGGTACAATAGGACAGAAGTGGCCGCAGTACAAGGGACTTAGTCCCACCCCACTAACAACAGAAAAAGGCGACAAGAAGACATGTGTGGGAGCCCAAGAACCTGTATGTGTTCAATGCAAGGAAAAGCAAAGTCTAAACAAACAATCACTCACATCACAGAGCACAAATGTCTGCACAACGGCTACTGTGTACATAACAGTACACTGCATACCGTGTATATAAATTTGTATTACGTATTTAGTGTACTCAAGATGTGCGGTTCAAATTTCGTGACAGAATAATACGAGTAATAAACAAATAATAAATAATAATACGTATAAAGTATTGAGGGAGGAGATGATAGTGTTCCATGTACGAGATACAACATGAAAATACAAGCTATTTTTAAAGTTCTGAAACATTATTTTCCAATGAAAAATTCTACAACAGAAAGTAGACAGCCAATAAAACAAGATAATTTTTTATTCGTGTCTCTTAGAAGCCTTTATTTCCTTACATTTCATGTGCTTGTAAGAAATATCGGAGATACTGTGATAGAAAGTAACAGCGAAGCCTGGATAATGGAAAACCCGTCACATTCTTCGGTAGGGTGGGCTGCCTATTCGATAGGTACACATCACCTTGCCAGATATTGAGTCAGACTAAACAATTACACAAAAATGTAGAAAGAAGAAACATGATAAGTTTTGTGCCACTGAGTTACAAAATCTCAATTCCTATTCAGTATTTTGAGTATGAAGTCGTGTTATTCGTAGCAATATTAATTTCCTCCTTTACTCCCGAGTTTACACCAGTCCGACTCTGAATCTGTCTAAACACGCAAGTTTCCAGGACAGGTCTTCCAGAGAGAGAGAATGTAAATTGTATATGCTTTGTAGGAGTAAAGTTTTTCCTACAGTAACATACAGATTCGAGTCATTTGCTCTCCATCTCTTCGAAAAGGAGAAACGTTAGGCTCAAACGGAATGAAATGTTAGTGATTATGTGTTATTTATGAAAAAGCTTTCGAACGGACCTCTGGTGCAACACACTTCCATTCATGAATGAATGTAGCTTTTAAAGCAAAAAAACGTTTAATACAAATACAAAAAAAAAAATATTATGACGTGTATACACATTGCTAGGCAACGACTCGGTAAACACATTTCCGCGCGAGCCAACGTGGGCAAAAATAGAACACCCATTGCTAGGCAACGGATCAGTAAACACATCTCCTTAACAATAAAGGCTGTGTTTGTTGCGTGGTCTGTGCAAACTGGTTATAAGGAAGTGTTTGTCAGAGTACAGAACGGTAGTCGAGTCGAGAATAGAGTGGAGTTCGAGACGTCAGCCTACCGAGAGCTGAGCTGGGAATTGAATTGAGTTGGCGGTTGCAGAATAATGGCAAAAAGGAGTAAGGTTTTGAGAAGTAAACTTCATGTGTGATTTGAAGTGACAGTGAGACTGTGATAAATCTGTCCCAGGACACGACTAGTGAAGACTGAGAATCCTAGTGCGTGTGTAACGGTGAAATTGAAAGTGTGTAGAATAGTGATAGTACTGTATTGCCTGTAGTCACGAGTACTGTGCATAAGATGTCAATAAACCCAATCATTCAACCCAGAAACCGTCTTATAAATCACCCATAAGGTAGGAACATACACAGCGACATCGGTCGTACGGAAAATGTCGTACGATTTTTTTTTTGCCGTACGACCTCCTTTTCAGACTAGACCGACCAAATACATTTCTTTGCTCTCCGACTACCGTACGGTAGATGTCGCATGTCCTCGCGTATGAAAGCTAAAACTACACTTTATATTCTACTACTTGATGCGACATGAATGTTAGGAAGTCGTACGACCGATGTCGCTGTGTGTGTTCCTATCCTTACACATAAAAATATAATTAGAAATTACAAGAAGATCTCTAGTTGAAATCGAATTCCTGATCATTCGGTTTGTTATTTGGGTATTTGAAACTGTGGCTGGATGAAAATTTCCAGAATGTAAGCGATTTATTTGGAACGGTTGCTTCGAAATGTCGCTTGACTACAGACGGAAATAAAAAAAAAATACTCTAAATTATCAGCGCTGGCCTAAGACGAATTCAAGCCTTCATTTTTATGGAAGCTGTACTTTTATCTAGAATATTTCAAAACTATAACTCTGAGGATAACATAGTAGCTACATACAAATTACGTTATTAATCAATATCATTTTGTCATGCTAACTTCTACAGGGTAAGGTTCCGAAAAATCCCGCGCCATAGCTCAAGCGGTTAGTCGCTGGCTTTCCACCACGGAGGCCCGGGTTCGATCCCGGGGTCTGGTCAAGTTGGATTTGTGGTGGACGAAGTGGGGCTGGGGCGAGTTTTCTCCGAGTACTTCGGTTTCCCCTGCCAGTCTTCATCCCACCAAATTATCCATCATCATAATCACCCGGGGCAGGTACAATAGGCCAATCAGTGGCCGCCGTGCCGAGTGGAACCAGTTGGACTCCACCCCACACTAAGTTAATTTTAAGATTTAACATTCCGTAAACACATGCATTATTTACGCTTTACTACAGAGATGGAATGAGAACAGCCACAGTAACGTTCATATAGAAAACACCCAGATGCTTTATCATCCACACGCAATGCATCAGCCAGTGCCCCAAGATCTGACAAGCCATTCTTATTCTCTCCGGCTTATTATTTCTCTCTTTGCCACGCCCAGACCAGCATCGGATGTCGAGGTGTTGACTGTTGCTACTACCAAGTTTTAAAATAATGTTACATCCACGCCCCGCAATAATTTAACACATAAGTCATTAGTTAATTATTGTAATATCTTAATGTATTCAGTTGTATCATCTCCAAGTAGGAGCATGCTTAATTTTTATTTTATCGTCAGTTACAAGAAGATACAAGTAGTTGTACCTCATGTAAAAGTAAAAAAAAAAAGTAAAGGTATCCCTGTTACAGGCCGTGGAGGCCCATAGGGTTGTGAGATGTTGAGGTTCCCACATTTCTACACAATCGGCTCATAGATGGAAAGTTTGTCAGCCTTGCGCGCCGGCCTTGGTTTACTCTCAAGAATATTCCTGGTACTCATTTCTGTCAGAGGCTAAGTCGACCACAGGGCCATAATGCGGCTGGAAGGATTAGATTAATTGAAAGAAATCCAATGACCTCATCGGGACTTGAACCCGCGACCTTCCGGCTTGTATCATACTGCCTCAACCAACTACGCTAGATCTGTGTATACTGCCGTAATTAAAGTAATTTTTTTAAGAAATATTCAAAACAGAATTTTGAAAAGTAGCGATAAGATATACGAATCTACTGTTGCTAGTATGTGTTCGATACATGTCACAGTGTAGTCGTGTCGCGTGTTCAAATTCAACCGCCGTTGGGCAGGCTTATAGTGAAAATTGAGACAGTGAAAGTGTTAATATAATATCCCATTATTTCGTAACGATTTCTGAGTTGGAATATTCCTTTCAGACATTCGTCTTGTTTCTTGTGGGCGTGGTGATGGCCGAAGAGGAGCAAGCGAAGCATGAGAAGAGGGGGCTGGAGGACCTAGGAATTGGCGGCTTTGAGGGTGGCTACAGCTACGGGGATGGTCACAGTATTGACCAGAGGCAAGAGCACGTCAAGACTATTGTCATCACCAAAGAGATCAAAGTTCCCGTCCCCCAGCCGTATCCAGTTGAGGTCATCAAGAAAGTTCCATACCCTGTGAAGGTCCCTGTGGAGGTCAAAGTTATAAAACCCTACCCAATTGAAGTACCCAAACCTTACCCTGTGTATGTAGAGAAAAAGATCCCCTACCCTGTGGAAAAGAGAATTCCTTACCCTGTCAAGGTCCCTGTTGAGGTACCTGTCCCTGTTAAGGTACCTGTCCATATCCCCAAACCCTACCCTGTCCACGTGCCTAAACCCGTCCCTGTACCTCAACCTGTCTACATCGAGAAAAAATTCCCGATATACACCAAGAAACCTGACATCTATAGCGGATTTGAAGGCCTCAGCTTTGACTCCGGTCACGGCGACTTTGGTTACATTGCTAGCTCATATTAGATCATAAAATAAGAGTTATATCTCCTTATCATTTTCATTTTCATCTTCATTATTGTCATTATTTCATGAGTGCACACACTCACCTCACCTCATCCAGTCATATTCATAGCAATAACAAGAAAGTTTATACTATACTAAAAGTAAGTTCAGTAAGTGCATTTTGTACAATCAAAGAATTTTGATCGAATAAATAAAAGTTAATAATGGTAATTCTCTGTCAAACTGTTGGGCCTGAAAATATCCTGTCAACATTTCAACTGAATTCCATCATTTCCTTTCATAGTATGTCCTGATTTCACATACGCCACTTTGTGTTGGAGAATTCTGTTGTGTACGGGCTCATAAGCTAAATTATAACACCTACAGCATTTTATTCTGCATATATTTTTTAAATTTATCGTGGTGTTGCGTCAGCAAGCGGCAGCATGTTTATATTTTCATATAAGTGGCAACTTCGCAAAAACAGAAGTGGGTTAGGCCTTAAATCCTATTCCTATAAGGCCCAATGCGTTCTTGACCTTTCCATCTCTTCTGGGCCTTCCCTCATGAAACTAAATTAAACATATTATATATGTTGCTGTCTCGTCACCAAAATGCAGGGCAAAATCATGACACAAAGATAGGAAACAGATGTTTTGAAAATGTGGCATAGTTCAGATATTTTGGAACGACGATAGCAAATCAAAACCTGATTCAGGGAGAAGTTAAGAGGAAATTGAACTCACGTAATGCTTGCTACAATTCAGTCCAGAACTTCTTGTCTTCTCGTCTGCTGTCCAAAAACATAAAAATTAGAATATACAGAACTATAATTTTGTCTTTAGTTCTCTATGGGTGTGAAACTTGGTCTCTGATATTAAGGGAGGAACATAGATTGAGGGTGTTTGAGAACAAGGCGTTGAGAATATTTTTGGACCGAAGAGGGATGAAGTGACAGGATGTTGGATAAAACTGCATAATTAGAAGCATCATAACTTGTACTCTTCTCCAAGTATAATTAGAATGATCAGGTCAAGGAGGATGAGGTGGGTAGGGCATATAGCACGAATGGGGCATACGAGGAATGCATGTAGGATATTGGTGGGAAAGCCAGAAGGAAAGAGACCACTGAGAAGACCAAGGCTTAGGTGGGTGAATAATATCAAAATTGATCTTAGAGAGATAGGATGGGATGGTATGGACTGGATTAATCTGGCTCATTGTAGGGACCAGTGTATGGCCCTTGTGAACACGGTAATGAACCTTCGGGTTCCATAAAATGCTGGGAAATTCTTGAATAGCTGCAGATTTGGCTTGTCCTCAAGAAGTGCTCAGCTGCATAAGTAAGTATTTTTTTTATTGCTAGTGGGGTGGGACTAAGTCCCTTGTACTGCGGCCACTTCTGGCCTATTGTACCAGCCCCAGATGATAGGTGAGGGTGATTGTGGAGCAACTGATAGAATGTAGATTGGCAGGGGAAACTTAAGTACTCGGAGAAAACCTGCCCCAGCACCAGTTTTCCACCACAAATCCCATTTGAACAGACCCCGGGATCGAACCCGGGCCGCCGCGGTGGGAAGCCAGCGACTAACCGCTTGAGCTATGACGCTGCCAAGTAAGTAAGTAAGTAAGTAAGTAATGTACAGTATATACCAGCCATTTATACATACAAACTATGCTAGGAAATTATATATACACAAATTATATTTAATTAGTGCTTACATCAAAATCGTAAATGTTCAAAGACTCAGACTTAATAAAAATCAAACTACGTAAGTGGCCTCCGTAGTCTAGAGGTAACGTTCCCACCTCATGACTCGTAGTACGCGGGTTCAAATACTCGGCGGAGGTCGTAGAACTTTTTAGGGCGGAAAAATTCAGGGAACTAGTCCTCCGGGAGGGACTTTAAGCCGTGGGTCCCGTGTCGTAGCTTTACGGCACGTAAATGAAACTCACCTCCAAAGGATGTCATTGAGCCAGAATTGCGGACGTCTGCCGCCCAACAGCAGTCACTAATACCTCCGGTAGATGGGGGAAGCATTATAGATACTTCTCAGCCAGTAGAGCCGGTCTCGCTGGCTGGGCGGGACTGATTGTAAGCACCAATACCGGTAGGATATAGAGGCTGGTAGAAATCATAGAGGGAAGCACAATGGACCACTACAGGTCTAAGTGCATGGGGTAACCCACCCTCTCTAATAACTAACTAACTAATCAAATTACGTTGTTGTTTCCTAAAATATTTTAAATCTCACATTTTCAGCACACAATTTAGCTGACTGTCGTCAGGAAACAGGAGCGTTATCTGCAATAATAAATTAGTACGATAGACAATAAATGAAACCTAAGGATAACGGGAGTATAGACAACAGACAACAAATCTTCAAGATATGAGTACTCTAATGTGGAGCTCAACTTTCCAGTTTATATTTTAAGGACATGTTAATCCATAAGACATATTATGCAAAATATCTTAGTAGGGCACGGTATTGGGCAGTCTGCTATAGGTGTTATATTGTGTGCCTCCTGAATTGTAAAGTAATTGCCTTTTTCTTATTCTTTTTCTTGTCTTCTTGTTCTTCTTCTCCTTCAAATTCTACCTGTACTATTCTTTTTTTTTTCTTCTAAATCTTCATTTCCATCATCCTTTCTATTCTGTCTTCCCGTTGCTCTGTTCTTCTTCCCCTTCTTCTGCTCTTACTCTTTTTACAATTTTTCCCTGACGTTTCTCTCAGTCTTCCTTCATAAATTAGAGCACTGTTACATGTGGAATAAATGAAAAAGAATTTTGTTTTTAAGAAACGACAGGAATAATTGGAGCGAGGGTCACTCCTCAGCAAAGCACATACCACTGCAATGTCAGAGATAATAACACGAGAAATGTGGAGAACCATTCATGATAGAAGAGAATTTCGAAGACGTTTCCCTTGTTTGCAAGTACACCAATCAGCCACAGTCGTATCTGTTTAAACACGGTGGTTGTGCCACGCTCTGTTGTGACTGAGGGGTACGTGGAGGCATGTTCTGCCTCACCAAGTGCAGTTACAGTACTGCAGGTGCTCCCTGATGACACCGTTACCACTGCATGGCGTACTTGTAAGCCTGACACACACGAAATCCCCACATTCCACTGCTGAGGTATTTCGGTTTCTCCAGAATTAAGAACCTGGATTATCGTGGCCAATTGTAACGAATTAACATCCACCTGTGCCTATGTCATGGTTAAATAGCATTCCAATACTGGAAAAAATGGAGCGTTCTTACTGAGATTCCTTGGAATAAATCGTTTAACACAAGGATAGAGTAGATCACCTTTCGATAACTCATGGGCGATTAAAGCCCTTCCGGTAAATGCTCCCACCATACGTTTGCCACTACTTTGTGATCTCCCCCACTCTGATATCCTTTTCCACTCCTACAGTACTTCGGAAAGTTCAGCTGCGATCAGGCATATGGTACACACCCACACGCCCGTGGAAGATAATATTCTGTCGTCTTCTCTTCTATTTAAATCTGCGTTTAATTACAATTATATAGAAAGCAGGAGCCTCATAGTATTACTCCAATCTAATTCGTTTCTGCTCAAACTACCCCCTCAGCTAAACCCTTAGGGTCAACTTTCTTCCATGTCGTACAGAGTCCTCTGATAAAAGCAAGCTCACACGCTAAGTATTTCAAGGGAGCCCTAGCTACGTTCTTCGCCAAGCAAGTTTAGAATCTGACCTCACACGCTCAACTGTGATTGGTGTTTTGTACGAGAGTATAAAATTGTGTGCTTATATGCATTAATTTGTCCAGAAGATAATGCACAGATATGGGTTTGAGAAAGCAGTTTGCTTTAGAAGTGCCTTTCAGCATTCATGAGGAAGAGACCTACGTAAACAGAATTCGTTTTTCTGATGAAATAATGTTTCGCAGGCAAAATTTGTCGCAAAACCTTCCCTGACTTCGTCAGACGCCCTAGCCGACGTATCACAGATTTGCATTTATGTGCTCCTTGGTTCGGAAACACCTGATTAAACTTAGGTCGAACACATATGTACGAATTAAAATCTGCCACCTACAGAACGCAACCCGGAAGGCAATTTCACTCAACCTCAAGCAAAACGTGACGGGACGTGACGGGACGGATCGGGACTGGCGAGACGGATGGAGCTGTTCCGCTTGCGGACGAGGCGATTTGTGCAAGCATGAACAGAACTAATACAGCGGCAGTACCACAGGAAATTTTTCGCAGCCCATTTTCTTCTTTAACGTTGTACATAAGGCATTGATATTTGTTGACAAATAGGGCAGGAAATAGTTTTAATTAAAATCTTGCCAACAAACCTAAGCCACCTAAGTGATCAAGGCACTAAAGTTATTTAGTTTAAAAAGATGTAAGCTTTCTCACTCTACCCTTATACGTGCTCTATATTCCACCCAACTCATTCCCTTAATAAAAGACAAAAAATGTTAATTTGTCCCTGTGCTTAACTAATTAAGCACTACGTCATGGAGGCGCATGGGGGGGTGGATGTATTTTCTACATTTCCTTGACCCCGGCACTAGTTAGAGGTGAGTGGTCAGCTAAACGCTCCGGACGATTTATCCCAGAGAAAGAGGCCATTGTACTCATTGGATAGGAAGCAGGGTGGTCCCCAGGGCCGGTCTGGAAGAGGGGGAGAGAAGAAAAATTTTACCCCTACAAGAATTCGAGCTCCGCCCCCTCGGCCATCCAACCAATAACCAGTTGTTCTACCGAGTGCGCTGTCCTGGATTTCTTTGGAGGAACTCAGTGAAACCACAAAAAAACCTCAACCAATATAGCCTGTGTCCCGGCCGGAGTTCGAATCGCTCACATCCCGCATATAAGCCTAAAGGTTCGGCCACACAGAGCGCTACGCTATGTTCGCTACGTACTCTGTGCACACTCTGCGACGAAGCTAACATAGGGAACATAGCGTAAGTAGCGTACGTAGCGTACGGAAGTCTGTGTGGCCAGTCACATTGGCAATA